TATTAATTTTTCTCTTCTGCTTCTGAGAAACAGCACCTCTCTTTTTCCATCAGAAACCATTCCTTTCAATACTGCTAGCAGGACTTTTTTTGAGTTTCTGCCCATCTTCTCCTTTTTGTTCCCACAGCACACGGATGCAGAGAAAATGCTTCCCGGAAGAAGCGTTCCTTGCCATTCCAACTTGAAATTGAGAAGAAGGGTAAGTGCTGTGAGATGAAATGATGAGGTTTCCCTCTGTGGCTCTAAGAACGCAGTTGCTCCAATTCAAGCAAGGAACTTTACAGGGGAGAGCCAAAATGCAATGCATACAGGTAGTCCTCATTTAACATCCACTCGTTCAGCAACTGTTCAAAGTTACGGTGATGCTGAATGAGGAGACTTATAACCAGTCCTTGTAGTTGTGGCCGTTGCAGCATCCTCGTGATCATGTGATTGCAATTCGGGCACTTGGCAAGCGGCTCGCAATTATGACGGTCGCAGCATCCCACGATCACGTAATCGCCATTTGCGACCTTCATTGCCAGCTTCCGACAAACAAAGTTAATGGGGAAGCCAGCAGGAAGTCGTAAATGGCGATCATGTGATGTTGTACTTAATGCCCACACGGGTTTCATTTAACAACAGCAGCCGGAACTGTTGCAACTGCCATTGTAAGTCAGTGTGGTCACACGACATTGTGCTTTATGACTGGAGTTGCCAGTCCCAATTACTGTCGTTTAGCGAGGGCTACCTGTAATTTATTTTCCAACCATCTGTTTTGTCTCTCCTCTCCCCCCTAACAAAATACCACAAACCTATTAAGAAAACAAAGATGAAACAGCTATGTGATTCCTTTCAATCAGTAGCCGTAAGGAAGGAGCTATTTAGTAATAGCAAGAGGAAGAAATGACCAGAGTGGGTTCTCCTTGGTGCCTTCAGAGATGTTCCCAAGCTGTAGGGTTGTGTTTTGAATCTCCTGAGTTTTGGGTCCTCTACATCCCAAGGGCATTGAACATGCTTGCCTCAAATCTTGATCACTAAAGTCTCATGAGGTTTGGCCATCTTGCAGACTCTTGGCCATTGAGTTGATTTAACCCAGTACATACACACAATGGATCGAATATATACGTGTATAAATAATTTTGGGATCCTGCAGATACCATCTACACGGGAGACAGGTGTGTGTCAAAATAGCAGCAGGCACCGCGTTGCCAACCTTTGGTTTATGTGGTCATCCCCAAAAGCTGTATAACGGTCTGATATATCAGAAAGAAAAGTTTGGGGACTGCTAAGCTAGATTGGCCTGAATTCTGAGAAGGGAATGTGAAACACTGGGTTACTTTACCTTTATCTTTACCCTTATTATTATTATTTTTTTTGCATTTGTATCCATTGATATTTTATCATCTCCTCCCGCTCTCTCCTTTGCAGTTGCCAAATATCGTAAATCGGATTACCTTAAATGCTGCAAGGGCGGCATTGTGCTGCTTCGCACTCCACGGACATGCGATGAACGTGCCAGAAGGATTGAAAACACGGAGTGCCGTCAAGCCTTCCTTGACTGCTGCCGCCATGCTGCCAAATTACGTCGCCTGTCCTGGGGTTCCCACGGACTGGCAAGGGGTGAGTATGGCACCTTGAGCCAGGTGTATTTCTCCACCCTGATCAGGCAAAGAGAAAGGTTTAGATCAGGAAAGGCAATCCCGATGTTTGAGCTGTCAGCCCAACAAACATGTTTAATAACTAAGAGTTCCAGCTTAAGGGTTCTTCCTCACAGCAGCCATAATATCTTTCCTCCAATCCTTAACTTGGCAGAAATTTAGGCTGGCAGGAATTGCACTTCCCCAACAGCTGAGAAGTTAATTGCCCCAGTAAGAAGTCTTCCTTTCAGATTTAATGGGGCACAAGTTAAGAAAAGTATCTGATGGATATCCTACCAGATCACTCTCCGTAACGTGGATCGGGGCTGGACCAGGGGAAAGGAGATGAGTTTTGATAGATGGCTAGACCCATAGGTTTAGCCATCTGTCAAAACTTCATCCTTGAGTGGGGTAAGGGGATTCCTGGTAAGGTCTTGGGCTAGCTGACTGGTACTGATTCCCTGCCTTTCTTGCCACCCCAGCTGCCCGAAGAACAATAAACCTATATTTCAACTTAGCCTCTTCAAGGAGCTTAATCAAAATGTTGTGGGCTCTTTGTTGTGCTAGCTGATAGGCACTGGAGACAAAGAGCTGTTAAGTCCTGTCAGCCTTGTGAAGTAGTTCAAACAAGAAGCCAAAACCATGAGTACTAACACTATCTTTATTGTAAGGTTATAGTAACAGATTCTTGCAAGTCTGAAAGCCCATCTCCCCCCCCCCTTCATCTTTACAGTCCAAGAAACTAGGGAGGGTCCCTTCTTAGATGTTTGCCACATCC